ACATATATATACATACATACATACATACATACAAACATATACATACAATCACATGCTTTGAAGGTTTATTGTGTGTACTTTGGTCAACATATATCAATACAAAATACCCCCATATCTATCCTCTAAATATAGAGCATATCAGGGACATATCTGTGCTACACCCTTCTTCATCTGGAGTGACGTCGGCCAAGAGGGTCAGCTGATCCACACTGACGTGACGAAGAAAAGTCAAAGAAAGGAACGGGATTTCCGGAGTCCGCGCAGCCAATGAGTGCATTCCACATGCGGACAGCGAGAGCAGTACATGCGGATCAGGAGAGCGGCACAGCGGAGACACGCGATTGGTGCTAGAGCTGCGAACACCGGCAGTGTGCTGCGGTTCACGGGAATGAACGAGGGATAGATCCGAAAGACTAGTTAAGGGCTTTGTTTGGTTACTCGGCACATCATAAGGACACTAGGACTCCAAGCAGACATCGAAAAAACTTAAAGACCAAAAACAACCAGCGAGTTTACGATGCGCGTTGTGTAATTCTTGCTTGAATTAGTCCGTGGTTTGTAACTTTTCTTCTCATTAAACGCCTGAACTAAAAAGTTAACATCGGCTTTTATCGTGTACTGTTTATCTGAGGTCACTAACGTTACTGTTGTTTTTGGTTCAAGTTTTTCGTGGGTCCGAAGGTCTTGGGAATCAGGACTGAAGGCTTTCAAGAAGCCAGTTTGTGGGGGGGTTGCGAGTCCGTTCATAATCAGCGTGTCCGTCCGTCCACGATGGAGAACGCACATACGAAAACCGTGGAGGAAGTTTACAGCTTTTTCGCCGTGAACGAGAGCACGGGGCTCGGCCTGGAGCAAGTGAAGCGTCAGCGGGAGAAATGGGGACCGAACGGTGAGTGAGCGAACGTGGCCCGGCTAATGCTAACAGAGGAGACTGGGATCGGCAGTGCAAAGGAAAGCAAAGAGGTTTAGATGATTTCGCAATGTGTGTCTAGTGTAAAAGTATTGTTGGGCCCGTGAGAGAGCGGGCGCACATGCGGCAAGGTTCATTTCATCAGCCGGCATGTGTCTGAAATGAAGGCGCGTGACGTCACTGCTGCTCGCCACCAGCGACTACTTATTTTACAGATTTGGCCAGAAATTAGTGTTGTAAATATAAACAACCTGTTTTTTTACGTATTGAATTTTTTCGCACTGAAGTTAAAATCTCAGTTGTCTTTTGCTGTGAAGCCTGAATGATGCAGATTATTTTACTGTAATCTAATGTTACGAATATCTTTCCCCCCCCCCCATGCTGTGAATCTTTGGCTGTCCCACAGAATTGCCTGCGGAAGAGGGTAATCTTTTGTCATGATTTTTTTTACGTCTTCTTTTATGCATTCCACACCTTGGTCTTTATTATCATGTATTCACATGCTTTTGACTTCAGGAAAATCACTGTGGGAGTTGGTGGTGGAGCAATTTGAGGATCTTTTAGTGAGGATTCTTCTCCTGGCAGCTTGCATATCTTTTGTAAGTACCTCAGTACAGTTAGAATACAGTACTTGTTTAGTTTTCCATATCATCATTTTCCCCAGTTTTATCTGGATTAGGTTAAATAAGGGTCGATTATATTGGATTCAGCATTTGTCATTGTGCAGAGGACAAGTACCTTAGTATGTAACCAGAAATTAAACTAAACTTTTCTGGGGAAAAAATGGTTGTTAGTTTATATGGGGGGAAAAATAAGCCAAAGCATCAAGCTTTGGCTGTCACCAAGCAATGTGAAAACTAAACAACGATCTGGAACAGCATATGTTAGTGGAATGGAGTTACAGAGAATTCCTCTCCCTGTGTTCTGTAATTACTCAGCTCCAGTTCCATTCCGGGTTTTCCACTGGTTCTAAAAATGACGTTCTAAAACAGATCAAAACTGTTATATAAAATGTAATATAGCATATAAATAATGGTGAGGTGCAAATCTTAACCAAACAGAACTTTATGATTCATGTTTGGTTCGTTAAGAATTTTAGCTTATTTTTTTATCACTACGTGTCATGTTAAAAACTGCGATGCAATGGGTAATGATACGTACCATGCTGAAAGGTATCTGAGTGCTTCATAAATGCACTGTGTGATATTTTGGTCATGCTACAAAATGCTGTCATCAGGCTACAAGGTGATGATGTACAGCGGTTCACTCAGTGGTTCATTTATGCTGTCTGGAGTCTTTAACACTTGTCTGTTCTGGATAATGTTTCACGCTGGAATGGGAAGCATGGTGCAAGTCTAAGAGGGCTTAGAGTGCTCTCACTGAGAACATGGTGTAAAATACTTTGGCCTGGAGGTTAGGTTACTGTGTTAAACCAACTGTCATCCACTTCCTGTGTTTGGACCTGTGGGTGTGCTGAAAAATCACTGTTTGTGGCATCAACATTGAAGATTATTATTATTACAGCATGCTTGTTTACATGACAAATATATGAAAAGGGGGGGGGGGAAACGACGTTTCTTAAATCCATTTGCTTTTGTTACTGACTGCTTGTTTCTCATCTTCACATCTGGTGTCCAGTGTTGTGACACTGCACAAGTGTTACTGGCAACAGGAAAGTTGTTCCCTCAGAATCGGTCCTGTGTATTGTTTGAGATCTCTTAAGCCCCATTGGCACCTAGCCACATACAGGTCTAAACAAGGTCCAAACGTGTTATGCTTGCCCTGACTAACCTATCATAGAGATGCATTAACTTGCTGTTACACTCACCTTTGTTATTCCCACAAGGCAAGGGTGTTATTAAATCAGCACAGTGTATCCCATCAGGACTAAGCACAGCAACTGGAATTTACAACCACAGCTATTTCCAAAAGAACCTTTTATAATTGAAGTCAGTTGAATGATTTTGAGTGGCATCTCATTTAATGGACTGAATTTTGAAAAAGCCATTGTGCTTTGTATTCAGAAGTCATAAGTTTGACCAGAAATAGAATTTAAAGGGTTAGTTCACCCAAAAATGAAAATTAGCCCATAAATTACTCACCCTCAAGTCATCCTAGGTGTATATGACTTTCTTCTTTCAGACGAATCCAGTCGGAGTTATATTAAAAATTGTCTTTGATCTTTCAAGCTGTTTAATGCCACTCAGCGGGTGTTGCATGCATTAGCCCAAAAGAAGTTAAATAAAAAGCACCCATCCATTAAAAAAAAGTGTCTCGCACGGCTCTGGGGGGTGAACAAAAGCTTCGATGCATTTTTGTAAGAAAAATATCCATATTCAAAATGTAATAAATCAAAAGTATCACATCTTATAGTTGTTCAACAAAGACAAAACATATTGCCACAACTCGGTTAATTGATGAATTAAAATATATTTTAAAAATATGTATACACTGTTGAAAATTTTGGGGTTGGTAAGATTTTTTTTGTTTGTTTTTGAAACAAGTCTTGCTCTCACCAAGGCTGCATTTATTTGATCGAAAATACAGCAAAGACTGTAATATCAAATATTACTTCAATGTAAAATAACTGTTTTCTATTTTAATATATTTAAAATGTAATTTATTCCCGTGATGACAAAGTTGAATTTTCTGCAGCCTTTACTGCTCTCTTCAGTGTCACATGGTAATGCTAAAAATGGTTGTGCAGCTTAATATTTTTGTGGACACCGTATTTAGTTGAAATAGGAATATTTTGTAACATTAGAAATGCCTTTGTCACATCTGATCAATTAAATGCATCCTTACTTGAAAAAGTTTAATTTTTACTTTAATTTTAAAAAAATAATAAAAACAACCTATCACAAACTTTTAATAGTAGTACATGCATATTGTATTCATCTGTTATACAGTGTATTATGCAAATATAATGTATATCTGTATGTATATGTATAATGTATATAATGTAATCTCTATAATGCTTTATAGGTCCATGCTGTTCGTTGAGCTAAATTGGGGTAGAGGATGTTACCAGACGCATGTCTATGATTAGACTAATTGATAAAGAACAGTTTGTCTGTGTGAACTAGCTTAGGGACTCAATGTATCATCGAAATGATGACCAAGAGCTGCGAAGGAAACCTCTCATACAAGGTCAGGGATTTAATCGAACAGAACTCAAGCTTGTCCTAGAGTACCCTCTGAAAGATAAAACAGGACGTTACAGAAGCAATATTCTGGAGACTGCATAAGGAATACTAAGCTTTTTGCCTCACTAGAATATGTGGGTTGGTGTTAAAAGACTCACTTTGGTTTTATGCTCTGACTGCACATTGCTTCTGTTTGTGTATTGGTGTTTGCAAAGACAGACACCATTGTTCATACATGAGTATTAGATATTGCCATTACATTCTCAATTGACCAGTGAGACCTCTTGTGTGGCCCAGGTATACCCTTAGAGTCTAGACTGATGAAAGCTGGTCTATCTTAATTTGGATCATATTACATGCTTCAGCAGTTACTGGGCCTTGTCTGGACAGTGTCAGCATGCCTGTAAATTCACATAGCTGGCTCGTTAAGTACTTTGTCTCAGTTATACTGCCTAGAAGTGGCATGCATAAAATATAGTCGTGCTTGTGAAGTTGCTGACGACGGTCTGTTTTGACACATGGCATAAAGCCACAACTCCTGCCAAGCCTCATGATATAGAGAGACATGCTTGAGGTACAAAAAAGTGTAAAAACGTGATGCACTAAACGGTTTATAAGGTGTCTTCCCTGGAAGACTCCTTGGTGTTTTTCAGTCATTTGGTAATGTGTGGGTATTTGGCGAACTTCGGAATGAAGGAAATATAAATGTGAATGAAATTCTGATTTAAATGTTTTTATTTTTTTTAAATAGGTACTGGCCTGGTTTGAAGAGGGAGAGGAGACCATTACAGCATTTGTGGAGCCTTTTGTTATATTACTAATTCTTATAGCCAACGCCATTGTAGGTGTCTGGCAGGTAAGTTTGGACTACATTTTCTTGAGTTTTGCCTTATTTTACACTTTTTCTGAGCAAAATGATTGCTAAGCGCTAATACAGTAATAGCTGTAAGGTTTCTAGTTTGCGCAGGTCAAAGGAGTGTTTTGATTTTGACATATATTTTAATTTTATGCAGATAGTCTCACTTAAACAGCTTCCAGTCTGCTAAAGACAGATTGGACAAGTAATGTCCCACATAATCGCTAAATCCTGGTTTTTGCATATTGACGTGCTCTGCCAGATGTTTATGAACAATATTTGATTACTTTGTTTGTATGAGAGATGAAGTTTGGGGTCAGTAAGTTTAAATGATCAAAAGTGTTAAATGATAAAAATTGACAGTAAAGGCATTTATAATGTCACAAAATATTCTATTCTAAGATTCCATTTCAAATAAATAGTTTTTTAAAACTATATTCATCAGAGTACTGAAAAAAAATCAGTTTCCAACTTTTGTCATTGACAATAAGAATGTTTCTTGAGCACCATATATTCAGCTTTGCCATCATAAAAATTAATTTCATTATAAATATATTAAAATGGAAAATTGAATATTACTGTTTTTGCTGTATTTTTGATTAAATAAATGCAACCTTGGTACAAGGATAATTGGATCGCATTTGTTGTTATAGTCTATATAATGGGATTTAAAGCTTTACTGTCCTCCAGACCACAGATTTTCCACGGATAGAGCTCACGTGTCTGGGCTTTCAAGTTTGTTTTAGACACTATTATATTGTGAATGTAGATTTTCTTGTACAGTGTAGTTAGCCTTGTTATGAAAATGAAAACATGTGGCCGTTTTTTCCCTGCCCTTTTCTAAAGATAGACCTGCTGTCCCAGTGGAATCCAGCATAGAGCCAAGACCCTATTTTCTCCAGCACCTCTCAGTGGCACTGAAACTCATGTCCCAGATTTCTCGCTATCATTTTATTTTAGTCACCAAACTCACCATTCATTACCCAGACTGCCCCGAGTATCCTCAACCTTGTCTCCTCCTAGTAGTTTTCTACTTTTTCAAATGGTCTTCTCAAAGGGCACAGCAGCAACACCGTGTTAAATGCCTTGGGCTGGAGTTTTACAGATAATATTAGTGTATATAAATGGAAAGAACTCTTTAAAGAGTCCAAAAAAGAGGCTTTAGAGCCTTATAGTCCATGTCTGGTAGCTTTGAGGTCGTCTATATACGATAGTCTATTATCTTTTGACAGATACATGTAGTTTAATCATTAATTTAGTGCACTTAGTTCTTTTTTATGAAAATTTACCAATTTCTTTTTCTCAATACACTACTGCTGAAAAGTTTGGGGTTAGTAATATTTTTTTAGAAAGGTTTTTTTTAAAAGAAATTAATACTTTTATTCAGCAAGGGTGCATTAAATTGATCAAAAGTGACAGTAAACGCATTTATAATGTGTTTACAGAATATTTTTTCAAATAAGTTGTTTTGAACTTTCTGAGTTTTCACAAAAATATTAAGCAGCAAAACTGTTTTCAACATTAATAATAATAAATGTTTCAACACTGATTTATGTTTCTTGGACACTATTCTGAAGGGTCATGTGACAATGAAGACTGGAGTAATGGCTGCTAAAAAAAATTAGCTTTGCCATCACAGGAATAAATTACGTTTTAAAATAACTGCAAAACAGTTATTTTAAATTCATATAATATTTTGCAATATTACTGTTCAATGGTAGGTTTTAAACAAAAGGGACAATTTGTCCAATGTTTCCTGCTCTAGCTTTTAGTAGGAAATGTTCACAAGCGAATTAAAACTAGGCTCATAATTTTAGCTGTTTCCTGAGTTGTTCTTCATCCAGTTTTGCCTCACAGGTGGCCTGCAAGTGTTCCCTTTACAGTTCTTTGGTGCATTGCTTCCCTAATGGCAGGTGTGATGTGAGATGCAAGAGGATTTATTATCCTCTGCTCTCTATGGCCACTTTTTCAATCCGAGAGGAGAGCAGCAGTTGCTAGCCCAGGGCACACTTCTTTTCAGAAAGCACCAGTTCATGCACCTGCTCTGGTAGATGTACAGGCCCATTAAACATCTGCAGCAAAGAACTGAGTCTGATTCGCAGCACTACCATTCAAAAGTTTGGGGTCAGCAAGTTTTTTTTAATCAAATTAATACTTTTACTCAAGGATGCATTAAATGGTTCAGTAGTGACAGGAAAATGTTAAAAGGTTTATATTTTAAAGGGATATTTATTACTCACCCTCGTGTCTTTCCAAACCCGTAAGACCTTTGTTCATCTTCGGAACACAAATTAAGATATTTTTTATAAAATCCGAGAGCTCGCTGACCCTCCCATAGACCGCAAGGTTACTACCACGATCAAGGTCCAGAAGCGTAGTATGGACATCATTAAAATAGTCCATATGACATCAGGGGTTCAACCGTAATTTTATGCCGTTGTGGAGAGTATCATGACGCATGCGCTTACTTCCGCTTCATGTAAACAACACATGCACATGGTGCTGCTGCTTACGTTAACACGTACATGTGTTGTTTACATGAACCGGAAGCGAGCGCATGCGTCATGATACTCTCTCTACAATGGCGGCGCATCGCTACAGGCGGGATGAGGAGAAGAATTGTTGAATAAAGTCGTTATTTTTGTTTTCTTTGCACACAAAAAGTATTCTCGTAGTTTCGTAAAATTACGTTGAACCACTGAGGTCACATGGACTATTTTAATGATGTCCTTGCTACGTTTCTGGACCTTGATCATGGTAGTAACCTTGCGGTCTATGGGAGGATCAGAGAGCTCTCGGATTTTATAAAAAATATCTTCATTTGTGTTCCGAAGATGAACACAGGTTTTACGGGTTTGGAACAACATGAGGGTAATTAGTAATAAATGATAGAATTGTAATTTTTGGGTGAACTAACCCTTTAAATAAATGCTGTTGTTTTCTAAGAATTGTGGGGGGAAAAATCCTACTAACCCCTCACTTTTTGAACGATACAGTACATTGTGTCTGTTTATTTTTGTCAATTATTTTTAGCACTGTAAACAAAATATTATTCTTTAGTCATTTATTTCCTTGCCACATGGACTTAGAGTACTTATTATATGAATGAAATGCATTTTATGAATTATTTAACTGATTTTAATGTCTTTTGGCAATCGCTTTAATCTAAATCTAAATTTTGGCAGAGCATATTCTGTTGGAAAGACTCCATGCTTGAAAGGAGTGTGTTTTTGAGGCAATGCGCTCTGCTTCTTCATTGATGTCTGAATCAAAAGTGTTCTTACAGAGTTAGATTGGCCTTCCTCCTTTCAGTTCTGCTCATTTTAACTGTGAAATGAGAATCGCGAGGCCTCATCTGCCTTTCAACCCTCTCTGCTTTATTTCTCATCATTAACATGATGCACAGGAGTCATTTCTGTATACTTTTTAGCTATCTGAATATTATCACTGATGCTCATCACTGTGGTTAGAATGATTTTAGTGTGATATAACTTACTGCAGGGTGCCTGACTAGAAACTGTCAGTAATTATCAGTATTTTTTGTAAAAAAGTTGCTTATTAGTCTTCAATTGAGAAGTGATACTGATCTGCCTTTTGTGGCGTGTGTATTTATAGCTTATTGCCTTAAATGTCTTGGTGACCACAACCCTTCCCCCCCTTATTTGTTTGGGTCTGGACCTTGAAACTGGTTTTTCGCCCTTAGGCACGCTAGTTTTGTTTGTTTGACATAAGACTTTGTGTTCCCATCATGCAAGAGAAACCACAGGAAGTCCACTGCCAAATTCTCTGCCAAGCAGGCTACCACTATTAGTAATTGTGTCCCTAGGGATTAATCGTGCTGAAAGCATAAGGTTGCCTTAAATGCTAGGGGTGTGAACCTACACTGGTCTCACGGTTCGATTACGATCAGGGCCGTCCTTGGCTGACGTGGGGCCCGGTGCGAGGTAAGGACCTCTAGGTTGATTACGATTATCATGTCATCGATTCGGTTCAATTCGATATCATGATGCAAATATCCTCAATTTTCAATTTTACTTCACATGTATACAATTTTGTCAATTAGTGTTAATTTTGTCAGCTATTTTCATTTTAGTCTTGGTCTTAGTCCCGGGCTAAAATGTCCTTGTTAGTTTTTATCATATTTAGTCAACCTTATCCTATTTAGTTTTAGTCGAGTTTTAGTCGACTAAAAGTCTCAACATTTTAGTCCAAGAAAATCTAAAGTATTTTAGTCTAGTTTTAGTCAATGAAAACTTGACATTTTAGCAATAAGATTATTATTAATTAACCGTACAGCAGTATTAATTTTGGCAGCCATTTTTAATTTAGTCTTAGTCTTACTCAAATGTACATTTTAGTTATCATATTTAGACAAACTTGTCCTGTTTTTGTTTATTCAATGAAATGTATGAGGTTTTTTTAGTCAATGAAATATTAGTCACATTTTCGTCATTCTGTATAATGGTTAAACTGATAAAAAAAAATTTTTT